AGACGTCCTTTCCTTCGGAATGTGCGAGTGCACCAAGCAACCCCAGGTTCGCAGGTACCGTAGCGTAGGTTTCTTGTCGTATATAGCTTCAAAATGTGACTTACCATCCAGCGCAGCTGTAGGTAGCAGGTTCACCGTGTCCACGACATGAAGGAGAGCTTCTTCCCACAACAAATCGGTCTGACTTGCAGCATGTAGCACAGCACGTAGTCGCGGTAGTACGAGTCCGTTCGCTCGCTCGACGATGGCATTCTCCTCAGGAGAATAAGAGTTGGTGTTCTCACTCTGGATGCCAAGCTCTTCGAAGAAGTCTTTCAGTCTGCTGCTCATAAATTCGCCTCCTTGGTCTGAATGCAGCGTGACCACCGTGCGCGACTGTCTCTTGAACTTATTGTTAAGTCTTAGAATCAAAGTCTTGATCTTGTCCTCTGCATCGTTCTTGTTTGCAAGTAGATAGCACCATTTGTACCGCGTAGCTTCGTCCACTACCAATAAGAACATCGTTTCACCTGTGATCGTCTCGTCGCCGACGGAACAAAGATCCACAGAGAGCTTCTCCAGCGGGTGTTTACGACGTTCTGGATTACGTTTGTAGGACATGTGCTTAAGCTTAGCAGTAATGCAGGGTACATAGTCGTAGGCAGAAAGCGAGTTCTCATTGATCTTAACGCCGAGGTCGGCCTTGCTGGATGCCAACTCTCGAATTGTCTTCATGTTCACATGGCCTAAGCGGTTGTGCAATAATCCCATCATGTTGGTACGAGCTTCGACCGCAGCAACAAGTCTGTGTGAGCGCTTCGTTCGTAGACGATAGAGCTTATCATGTTGATCAAATCGCAGCTTGATCTCGTTCTAGGTTAGCCATGCAGTTCGCTGATCCTCACTGATATGCACGACAAAGCCGCAGGCTTGCATGTAACCAAGACTTATGAGGTTAACGTGAGCATTCGGTGAGTAGTGCACGTCATCAAGGCGCCGAGGCTCCCACTGGCCTGAGAGCTGGTTCTTGACGCGCATCACGACACTCCCGCTCGCATTCAAAGTCTCTGTTTGGCCAAGGGCCATCTTTAGTTCTCCAGAGACTCCACGTTCAACGTAAGAAAAGCACGACAGATCTCCACAAAGATTTACTTGCGATCCGCTGTCAAGTAGCCATTCCATTTCATCCGGTGCCAAATCCGGAAAACAGTTGTCTTCATGACTGCCCATAACCATGCTAACCAATCCCCCTCGAGCTTCAGCAGAAGATTGTGGAGGTGTAGAGGTAGGCGAGAACTGTTCTGCACCCACCGCAGGCACAGGAGGCTTCGTTTCCAGCTCATCACGTAGCTGTCTTGCCGCTTGTTCACCAAGAACATGACGAACTTCATCGAACGTATAACCAGCAGCAGCGGATCGAGGTTGTTGGTGCGCAGCACCACCCATAATATTCGTGAATACACCACCAGAGAAAGCTTGTACTCGCTGGTTTCTTTCCTGGCTTGCAGCAGCTTGCTGGCTCGCTCCTTTGCATTCTCTGTCGCCCTTCCAATGTCCCTTCTGTCCACACACTTTGCACGTCGAGTTTTTCTTCTTCCTAGCCATAATGGGTAGTCCTCGAGCCTGTAGACGAGTTACTTGAGACGGAGCGACTGCGATTACCACCGTATCTGCCATTTCGCTGGCGTGGCTGTTTCCCGTTTCCACTCCGCTGAGTGAAGTTGGTTTGTAGTTGAGGCCGTCCGCTGGATAGCCCTCTTCCACCGCTAGAAGCACCGCCGCTGGCAGCTGCGCCATGTTGCTCGCGGGCACGGGCGGTTATCTCGGCGTTTACCAATTCTGCACGTGACGCATCGATAGTGAATTCATTCGGTTGAATACCACGGCGGGTTACGTCGTCGGTGATCTTAGGGTAGCCATTCATGGCGTTGGTGAGCATCAACCTTGCCACACGACTGACATGCATAGGATCATTGTTTTTAGCAAGGATGCGCTGCATCCGGAGCAAGTCCTTAATGTATTCTTCCACAGTTTCATCTGACTGGAGCTTCCTAGCGTAAAGGTCCGCCATCACCATGTCAGTGTTAACACCAGGTCCACGACCGAAATCCTGAAATATATGGTCCCAAACCTGTATAGGATCCGCCCTGAACACGATGTCCTCGTAGCGTAGTAGAGCCTCGTCGGAAATGCACGACACCAGCAGTCCTTGGGCTTTGCGACGTCGAACGTCCCAACAATTCTTCTGGGCAGGTGTCATGTTGTCGCGCAGCGGCTCATTGCCCTGCACCAGCTGCTCCAAGCGAGACATACCAAGTCCGGCCATGACACGCATGCGCCACGTCGGATATTCGGACGGCTGGGAAAGCTTCTTCTCTACGTCGAACTTAGTGATTGCTTCGATCTTAGGCATGTCTTCTTCTTGTTCTTGCACGCAGGCGGGATTCACCTCACCAGCAGGTACGTGTGCTTGGTAGATGTTTGCAGGCTGTCCGTAGTTCAGAGGGCGCGACTGAGGCCGAGTGATCGAGCGCGGCCGATCTCCGTAGCTTGTCTGTGAGCTTGGCTGCGCTCCAGGAAGCCGAAAGTCTTGTGAGGCTCCGTCGCTGACGGAGCGTTGGACAGCTAACGGGGTTGCTAATGGCGTCAGTTCTCCAACTTGAGATTGTGACAGGCTTCTGACACACAGCCAACCGATGGTGTGCTTACCCCCAAATCTTGGTGCTGATTGGTCGATGTTACCGTAGGGTTTGGGCTCATAACCTGAGACGTGGTACGGTTCGGGGAGCCGGCAGGCTCTGACGACTCGTCCTGTCCGTCGTTCTGCATTGAGAAAAGGAAGAACGCCTACGGACACCGGACTAGCAAGGCAGAAGCCTTACAGGGACTTGAGGGGCTTGGCAGCGCAGTGGTGGATTCGGAAGTGAGACTCTAGGAGCCCCGAGTGCGCGCAGCGCACTCCACCTTCGCCGTACCCTCGCAACCCGTATGTTTATATTACTGTTAGAGTCCTCTTTAGCTGATCTTGTGCTGGTCGTTGAGTGTGCGCAGCAGCACTCGGGAGTCTTGTCCGCAGGACAAACTCTGCAACGGGCAGCGCCTGTGCAACGGCAGCAACGGCAGGGGTTCCGTCCGCGGGACGGCTTCAGCAGCAGGCAGCGCCTGCATGATCGCAGCAAGCTGGGACAGCGCAGCGTCCCGTTCCGGCACGTTGAGCGGTGCGGCGCACTAGCTTCAAGTGGCTTCTCCAGTGCTTCCAGGCTGGGCTTCGGCGGCGCCAGCGGCGCTCCAGCGCTGGTCTCCTCTGTGGTAGTGCAGCATACCCAGCGTGGTATCTCACATGTTGTGTGACCCCGTCACAATATAGCTCCACTATAGGTGATCTCTAGTTTGTAAAACAACCAAGTTAAGCATATTAATAATACAACAGTCTTACATCTACTCTATCAAGTAGCAAACCGTCCCATCAGTGGGACGGTTTGGCCTAACATTCTCGGGTAGTAAATACCCTTTAGCACTTCCACTGTGCAAGGTGCTGCGTGACTCCGTCACACTTAAAGATGGTCCGTGCATTCGTCGTGTTGAGTATTGACCCAGCTGACGTAAACTTACGCTTCTAGCGGTCGTTTTACGCTGATGTGGGGTAGATACATGCATAGGTAAGGAAACGTGGGTGCAACTGGAATAACACTTCACGAGCTTAGTGCAACCATGTCGGAAAAAGCGCTCGATAAGGTACTGACTGACAGGCTCGTATCACCCGGCGATAGGATATGATTGACAAACTCTATAGAACTCGATCTGCACGCGTAGTGAACAGTAATCCAAGTGATCGATGAAAATTGCATTCTGGAAAACAAGTATTGTGCGTTCTATTCGAAATTTCCGCGATCGTCTGAGCACTCGCGTGAAACCTGTCTTAAAATATAAAACTATTGTTTCTTCGGTCACCACAGGCCGTGCGGGGCATGCATATTTTTTGGTCGTATTATAGCCAATAGGATAACGTAAGACCGCCGCATCAGCAATTTTGGACGGAATTGACAATATGAAATGACGGGTAAGTTACCATGGGCCGTACTAATACTACACAATTGAGTTAAATCTCGTGAACCAGCTCTGGAAATTGCTGCCACTTTAATCAGCTCGGGGAAATGGCGACATTCACTACTCTCGTCATTTAAAAAGCATCATTGCTTCAAAATCATGCAGGGAGTGACTTAATTCTTTTAAAAAAAGAGCAGCTATTGACGATGTGGTTTCGTTGAAGAATATGCGAATTAATGGTACACAATTCTTTTGGGTTTTCTTTGGAAAGCACTACTGTGAATCATACCTGACGGTCCATTCGATATTTATACATGTGCATGTCTAAATGGAAAACTTATACTTCTAAAACGATGACATGGAACCGTATTTGTGCATATACCATCACGTGTGAGCCGCCGTAAGGCAGAGTCACTGTTCTGCCTTCAACCACTAATGTGCTACATGTATAATCCCTCCAAAAAAGACTCCTCCAGTTCGTGAGACCTGTTGCAGATACTCTCTGTGATCCAGAAGGAAAGACATGTAGCTCGCAAGACTCTGTAAAAGAATGGTTGAGCCCCAGCCTTTAAAGCTCTAAACAAGGGCCGTTATCTGATGCGTTGAAATCTGATTTAGATGAAATAATGTTGCGGCGTTGAGCTCAGCCAAATAAATCAAGTGGGAGGAGATCTGAGTTGTTCCCGTGGTAACTCCAAACAGTGGCACTGTAGACGACACAAAATGGGTAAAATCACGAACTGCTGTTATACATGAACAATACAACAGCCTGTAAAAGTACCCATTTTAAAGCTTCCTTTTTTTGTAGACTCAAGTGAGACTCCCATTTCCGGTGGTAGGATTATCATCACATACTGAAGACGTGATCAAATGAAAAACCAACTTCGCTTATCGCTTACCGGTACATGTACTTCAAAGATAAATGCAAAGAAAAAAACGACGCATACAAAAGACTGCATCTGTACGTCGACTCCCTACAAAGTGAACATCTTGATCTTCATGAAGATGGCGGTCGTCAGGAAGCCCAACGTGGTCATAATGCCACCGATGAACACCGGCAGCTTGTAGCCGAGTGAAGTATCCACAATGGCCGTGCCGATGGCAAAGTTGAGTAGCTGGCCAAAGCAGTTGGCCGAATTCAAAGCCCCCACGTACATGCCGATCTCCACATCGTCGCCCATCACGTGGATAATGATTGGCACGATGAAGGAGAACCACACCGCAGAAGTCATACCGCAGATAGCGACGACGAAGACGTCGAATCCCTTGTTGCTGACCCATGCCATGGCTAGCAGGAACATCTGCGGCACGGTGGACAGGGTGAGCACCCACTTAAGGCCGAACTTGCTTACCAGGAAGGGCAGAGTCCACGAGAAGACGTAGCCGACAATGTTGTAGGCCAGATCGGCGTCACCACCAGCAAGACTGACACCGTCATTGTACGCGTCCTGTTCAGCCGAGCAGGGGTCGCAGCTGTCGGCGTTTGTCGCTGTTCCGCCGTACACTTCAAGGCCGAAGAACTGCCCCTTGTTGCCGTTGTAGGCCGTGTAGCCGTACTGCACGAAGAAGAAACCAATAGCGTACGCAATCAGATCCTTGGGTAGAGTCTTAATGCCAAGCCACACAGAGTAGAAGGCGTCCTTGACCTGAGTCCACGCTGAAACCTGCTCCACCTTGCTGGGGTCGAGCGGGATTTCGTGCGCGAAAATCGTCGCGACTGCCACGCAGACGAACATAATGACGGAAAGCGTGCCCATAAACCAGTGCATGGACAGGTAGGCAGCACCGAAAGAGCGGATGTAGACGGCCACAACGATCGATCCCAGGGTCGACCAGGCCTGGCCGAGAGCAGCTCCGGTCGTCTGGCGGTCACCGGCGAAGTCGGCAACTAGGAGCATGGCCGGGGTCTGCACAATGTTGACGGTGATGTCCATCCAGGCATAGAAGAAAATGGTGAAGACGGACGTCCACGTACGGTCCATGTCGTCATCGCCGCCATTGCCGTGGTCTCCAAGAGCGTCGCCAATTTCGCGCGTGTAGCCCATGGCAATCCAGCAGATGATACTTAGAATACCAGCGATAACCAGGTACGGACGACGACGTCCGAACCGTGAGGTGGTGCGGTCACTGAAGACGCCGATACTGGGGCCGACAATGACTCCGACAATTGGGCCAATGAACTGTGTGGCTTGCACAGCGGAATTGGACAGCATTGTCGACAGATAGGGACCTAGAGCTGCCCACTGAGCCGACCAGGCCATGTTGATTGCCATACGCGGCATCGAAACAGCAAGAAGCAGCCAGATCGGCGGATGCGATGGCGGTGGCTCGTCACCGGCCATCGACCCAGGCTTGGGGGATGCATGAAGCTCGTAGCCCGGTGTTCCGGCTTCAACGTCCTTCATAGCACGAAGCGTTCCCGGAGACAAATTGGTGAGAAGAAGCGGAGTTCTGCTTCGGAGGAAGCAAGTTGAGGAATGAGATCGATCAGAAAGCGCTTCAACCGATCGGCAAATCGGTCAAAGACGACTAGAGCTTCATAAAAACACAAGGCGGCAAGTTTCAGTCTAGCTTCAGTTGAACTTCAAACTTAACTCTACCGAAGGGCAATAAGTCGCTTGAATTTTTAGTAACTCCGTTTTCGGGTCGACTGTGAGTCTACCTTGCCGTAAAGTACTCCTACTTAATTAGAAGCATCATAATTACCTACAATATTAGATACAATTTGATATTACAGGTAGCAATATTGGAAGAATGAGATATAGCGCAAGTTTTTTGTTGTATTATATGTAGAAGGCTATCACGTTTTATTTATTTCTTAGCTGACAGAGATCATATTTAAGGGGGAAGATGACCAAAAAAGTATGCACTTTGTCAAATGTGCAGAGTTGTGTCCGTACGCGTATGTGAATGTTTCTGAGAAGATATGAAATTTTACCACACTAGTAACAGAAAGTGTATACCAGACTGGGGCTCTGGCAGAAGGTTACCCTCAAGGGTATCGCCAAGGACAAGCGAGTATGGCCGGGTACTATTTCAGATTATAGTGAGCATCATTCGATTTTGGCGACAGGTACACACCTTTCTGTGAGCTTTGCATCCATCTCGGCTACATCTATCTCCCCTTAACCCAAAACATTTGCTGCCACGACGGTAAGATTGTCAGCTTAGGAGCTACGACACGAAGAGCGTTTGTTTGCTGTTGCGTGTGGTCACGTAAAGACCGTTGGGCTAGAGGTGGATTCTTAGGACGAAGAGTATCTCACATTGAATGTATCATTCCACCGCATTTGATGATCTAGCTCACGTTTGACGCAGATGAAAACAAAGTGGACAATGCCTACCGCTCCTGAATCCGGACACAACAAACATGCAAATGACATAAGTATGTAGGCAACTCTGTGTCCACGGCGTCGATCTGTTTCTTTTGGTAAAATAGTCTTTGTGATTGGAAGTTTTGTTCGTAGCAAAGGTTGAGTAAAAGGCTATCCATTTTAAAGGATTATAGAATAAACTCGTAGGTATAGCCCGATCGTGTAGGTTTAGCCAGTTCAGGCACCAGTTTTTTATTTTCATACTTCTTTGGGCAAATTCCGATGACATGTAGAAAATGCACACCTGCAGATCATGCAAATCTTAAACTCTGGTCATTTTCGAGCCTTTTAAGCCACAGTTGCCGAACGGTGTTGGCTTGTTGTTGAAGTGTGGAAGCCCAACGCCGGACTTGGCTCTGCATGTGTCTAATAATTTGAGAAGTCTATGCAGGCTTCAGTAATTTTGGTCACTCATTTTTGAATGTAATTAGTTTTTCTACATGACAAATTTATTTTGCTCCTGGTCAGAGCAAATCGAGGCCCGATGCCTGTACCGTACAGTGTACCGTACGTGCTGATGGGCCATGCCGATGGGCAGCTGTAAGAACGGTGTCTTCGCACCCAGAGCTGAGCCAAAGGAGGCGAAGCGATTAACAAATAGTGGGATACTTGTACTTTGGTGACAGACGGTTTCAGTAGCTGCAGGCGCTGCGTCTGAGTGCAATCATTGTTGTGTGGAGGCTGCACACGCATTGCACCTTTCTTAAGTTGCAGTTAGACTTGAAGCCGAGATGCGGTGCCGTGCTGTGCTTTTTGCTCTATGTGGCTCATCAAATCTTACGCAATTATGAACACTGAACAGCGTCTTCAAGGTGCGATCGCGTGATGCTTTGGTTGCCACTTTGATCTTCGTGAGCTTACGTGAGATCCTGAAAAGCCGCTACTGTAACGGAAATGCACACGTACTGTACATATTGGGTCTTCACTGGAGACTCGACATGAAAGAGTTCCCTGTACAATGAAATTTGCATCTACACTGGACGACAAGTCGCTTTTCTATGGGCTGCAACGAAAGTCGCACCTCGGCAAATGAAAAAGGTTCCGGTACATGTACTTGTAGAGAGAGATCTGAGCCGGCGCTCCCTTTTGTCGTCTGGCAACGGTTGCGCTCTTCAAACAAGCGGAAGCCATTTCGACGCCATGTAAAATAGAGCTACCGGTATGGGCACTCATGTGCTAATTGCAAGCTATCTTTTATAATTGCCCTACCAAAATACATGCTTCAGTGTATCACAGGCGTTGGGCTGGCCCCAAACCGGTGGCTCGTTGCCTGCACCAGCATTTTATAATAGTGTTCTTTTTTACAAGCCTAAGAACGATGCAGCTTGGGCAACGATACTGTATCAAGGTTAAATAAACTGTATTCGTCTTCCCGAATCAGGAGAGCTAGACCATCATCCCCATCAACTTAAACTAAATAAGTATCCATGCACATCTCGTCGACTGTTACGATACCGAAAGTCTTCACAAATATTCGATAATCGAGCTCTTCGGCAGATCGAGTAGGACATGTCCGCAATGTAGACTCTATAGAGAGTTTGGGCTGCAAATGTCATCGCTGCTGATCTCATCCATGCAGCCGAGGCAAACGTGCCATTGGCCCATGAAGCTGAGCCGATCAAAAATTCGGCGTAGGCCATGTATCCTAAATGCGACCCCATGCCGCAACCTCACCACTTCAAAACATGTAGTACAGCTCAATCATCCAGATAATTCAAAGAATGCCCCTGCAGGTTGCGTACCGCACTACGTTTGTTTACTACCTATTAATACAGTACTGCACCCCGTTTTCGCGGGGGTGGACCATATAGGATTTGCAAATAAATCAGACTTTAGCTTACAAACTCTAGTTCTTTTAGATTCAGGACAATCGCATCCGGAAGTTTATCAAAGGTCCCAGGGGGCAGAGGCTACGTACACATTATGAGTCAGCAATTTTTGCAGTGTCTTGCAGAGCCTGCACAGTATCTGGTGGATAGCCTCACCATGTGCTGGGTATAGCTGCCAGATGGGCCATCTGGCAGCCATCTGATGGCAGCCAGGTTTCTCTTCATAGAGCGAGCAATTTGGACAGCCCTTGGCAGCTGTGGTCACGCTTCTCTTCATAGAACAAACAGCGCTATCGGCTAAACTGTCTTCAGACTTGCATCTTAGAGATTTCCAGCATTAAAAAAACACAGTGTCTAATACGGCTGCCTAAAACAACGAGTCCGCTACGCAGCTAATGATCAATTCTTATACGGTAAGCAGCGATGCAATAGTGTAGGCAATATGAGATTACATTGTGCTTACAATCTGACTGATGTACCTATAGCGGAAGTACTGCAGCGCAGTCGAAGTATCAAACCCGGCCGGAACGACATCTAGCAGGAGCATTTCAAAAACATTATCACGAAGACTCCGCAGTTATTGTAACGGGGTACGTAGCACTAAGTGTACCCTGGTTACATGAAGTGTGACACTTCACACTTCAGGAGTATGACATGTCATACTCCGGGATATTTGGTACAAGGTACCAAGGTCATTCAAAACCAACCATTGGTTAAATGACATTGCATTTCTATAGGTAACTGATAGTTTGTATTAACCTCAAACTTAACCTACCTATAAATATACTCAGTTTACAATCTACCTTATTTAGGCCACTTCGCTCTCTTTAATTAAAGAGGGGACCAGTGAACTGCCGTTCACTGAGAGTTTGTATACTCTCGGAAGATAACTTCCTCTAGCGCAAGGTGCTGTGTGACCCCGTCACACTTGGTAGCACTTGTAGTCAATCCACGCCATCGCGGGTAGACTACCTGAACCTCCGAAGTTCGTTGCCATGGATAGGAACGACTTCTCCCATATGAACGACTCTCAGTTCGAGTCGGTTCGGAAGATGGCAGGCATCTTCGGGATGGAGGCCCTGCAGAGCCTGGTGGTATCAACACCGGCTGAGCAGCTCGAGCGCGTCAATGCATTCGACGCGTACGAGCAGGGCCTCATCGCGCATGTGCGGGAGAACCTGCAGGCTCCGGCGGCGGAAGCAAACCCGCCTCACCCGAAGCCAATACGGCTGAAGGTAAAGCCGTATGAAGGGAAGGAAGGCGAGAACCTTCACTTCTGGGTCCGAGAAGTAGAGCTCGCGATGGACGCGGCTCTGATCTCGACCGAGCAACTGCGTGTTGCTTTTGCACTCTCCAACCTTAGCGGTCGTGCTAAGAGTTGAGTGTACACTCGGGAAGCGACATCCCCTGGATGTTTCACATCCTGGGCTCAGCTGTGCGAACAGCTCCGAGCCGCGTTCCTCCCGGCGAACTACGAGTACCGCCAGCGTTCGCGCTTCCTCGCGTGTAAACAAGGAAGACGCGAACTGCACGAGTATGTGCAAGAGATACGGGAGCTCACGGCGTCCCTAGTGGGAAACCCACTCAATGAACACATCAAGATGACTGTGTTCATGGACGGCCTTCGAGTGGACCCCGCACGCACTCAGCTGTTCCGGGTGCACGCAAGCACCCTTGAAGAGGCGATTCAAGTGGCTCTTCAAGAAGAATACAGCCATCGCCAGGCGCGTACGCCGGCCTCAGCGTGGCCTGGGAGTTCCTTGTCGGCTCCCGGTCGAACAAGCCCCAACGGACCAGTTCCCATGGAACTCGGGTCCGCCGAACAGCGTGACATCCGCTGCTTCGGCTGTGGGAAGATGGGCCACTTCAAGCGCGACTGTCCCGCGGAAAGACTCCGCAGACGGTCCTTCCCCAAGCCCGTCCTCAAGGGTCGCTGGCAGAAGCCAGGATCCCGGGGACAGGGGAACGCAGGGAACCAGTAGGGGCGGGGCGCCCTACTGGGGAAGAACTAAGTCTTCGTGATGGGTGCGCGGGTGGCGCGTACCACGGGGACTTAGCCCCTGAGAGTCTTCGCACTCTCGAATCGGCGAAGAGCAGCGGCGGGTTGCTCGTAGTACACGGATGTGTACGGGGGTACGATCACCCCTTTAGAATCTTGATTGACTCTGGGGCGTCGAAGAATTTCGCACGCCGCCAGACGGT